CAAGATTTTGTTCAGGACGCGTACTTGGCTTATGGGTGGTCTTATCATTTATTGCAGTGAGAAGTCCTGTGGGCTTCCTTGCCAATTTTCTTCATTATGAAGTGTCCTTTTAAGTTCTATGTTCCAAGCAACTTGGTAAAAGGACATAGGAGATCCTTGTACCATTCCTTTGTTTGTGGGATCAGTTTCCCAGAGGGGAAATGAGAAGAATTGTAAAGTGAAGTGGATTTGGCTTTCCATTATTCTGTGATCATCTCTTTACTGATCAGATTGCAATGAGTTGTGAACATGCAAATAGGCCTCTGCAAAGATAGTGTCTGGTTCTCCAAATATATTTGTCAAGTATTTCACTACACATTCAGCTTTCTGTTTAAAAAATTTCTAAATCATTTCTCCCAGTGAACTTTGTTCTTTTGCATAGCACTATAGTGTCTGTGACAACCTGTACAACAAGATGCTCCTCAGCCTCCTTGATTCCATTCTCTATCACTTGAAATATGTAATGGGCATCATGGATATAATCAGAGGCATCAATAACTCAAAAAGACAGTCCCTGCAGAACAATTCACAAGCAAATTCATCTGACTTCTTCTCTTCCTATCACTCCAACCATCAGTCATAATAGAAACCCCATACTTAGCCCATGCATCCTTCTTAAGTTCTACAGCTTCTTTCGTGGCACTCACTACTTTTTTTAAAAAAGGCTCTTAAAGCTTATATAGGATTGGGGGTTTCATCCCAGGGCCAAATTGGCCAACTGCCTCTATCGCAGCATAGAGGCTGCTTAAGCAAGAGGTATTGAAAGAAATGCCTGCCTCATAAAACCATGTAGCAAGATAATACGCAGCTCTATCTCTCTTTTCCTTTTTGATTTTATTTTCAATGGTGGTATGCTTTTTTGTTTTCTCTGCTGCAACCTCAGGGTCAGGCCGAGGTAAAAAACTATCCATATAGGGCCTCTAACCCGAGGCTTCTTAGTCCTAGAACTAGAAGCGATTACAACTTCCTTCCCCTTTCCCTTCATAATGGATTGCTCAACCTCTTGACATCCCTCCATTTCCTCATCACTATCATCATCATCAAAATTGACTCGAACCCTAGATCTAATCTCTACTATATAGGCAAATCTCTTTTTTTTTTTGCATTTTCACGATATTCAAAAAATTGTTTATTTCCTCTTTAACAGCATTCAGAACCTTTTTACATGGGCAACATCCTCCCTGATACTTGCAAGATATCTTTTGAACCGGTTTATGCCTCATTTTGTATCATTTTCACAAAACTTGCATCATATGCAATTTTTATCATTAGGATCTACGTTATAGCTATATTTCCAACGGGATCACCAGATCCCAAAGAAGACATCTAAAAAATAATGCAAATTACTAAAGCAATAAAAAAAGGGGTAAAGTTTATATCGAGTATTGGATCTAAACAATCAAGTTAGAGCCTACCTCAAAATTTTCAATAGAAGATGTTGTTTTGATGCGCAAATATCATCAAATTGATCATCTCGGCAGCAAGATGCATGGACATGAGAAAAAAATGAATTTCAAGTTTTGGAAATAGTGTATCTTGTGATGCATTTTTTGACCTTCAATGTTCAAGATTTTCAAATTCTCATAAATCTGCTTGATATATACTATTTTTGAATCTTTAAATTTTATAATTATAGATGAAAATATATTTTAAGGCTATCACAAAAATTTTCAGTATGGAAACCATATTTCTCGATAGTTTTTGAAGGTGGGCTCTAGTTTGATTGTTTAGAGCCTCAACTCTATACAAACCGCACCTTAAAAAAAAAATCACTTATTTTGAGTTTGATTGCTCAATCTTCAAACTTCCACCTCAAAGATGCTTCTAAATACTCAAAATCTTCTAAAAATAACTTTGCAAAACATCAAAAAGTAAATCTAATATCAATAGGTGATGTTTTGATAAATTTTTAACTTTGAGAAACCCCTCGATCCTAAAAAATTCACCAAAAAATTGATTTTTTGGGGCTTTCTCTCTCTAAAATTGGCTCCAATAAGTTTTAGGGTTCAAATGAATCTAAAACCCTAAGTTTTGGCCCTTAAAAGCAAAAAAAATGACCGTAACTGCCCCTACCGAAAACAATTTCCGCCCTTGGACAAGGCGTAGGCCCTGGGCGGCCACCCAATGCTGCGTGTTGGGCGCCCGCCTAGGGGGGTTCCGTATTGCCTAGGCGGCCACTTAGGGATCGACCACCTAGGCGCTGGGCGGTCTGCTTTTTGAATCATTGCTGATATGAACTTTTTCTATTCATTTAGCATTTGTTTTCTCGATTATACTAATTGTTTTTACATTCCACAGTTAACAATTTCAAAAAAAAAAAAAGGAAAGTTCCAGACATTACATCCTTCTATTTTTCATTCTGTCTTCTATTGCTAGAACATAGACATGTAACATTGCTTTTCTGATTGGTTTTTATTTGGATATTGTCACAATCCTCTTCGCTTTGTTAAGCACTCACTTCCTCTTCATCTCCACTTCCTCTTTGGCTTTCCATTTTCCACCTTCCTCTCTTGGAGTATCCTTTTTGTGGTCACTTATTACCACATCCTTCGTGAATCATAGCTGGATCAGTGAAATAGCATCTTGTCCACTATGATTTCCTATTCTACGTTCACCTACATTATAAACTGACTAGAACCCATGAAGTTTATTATGAAGTTTATTATAAAGTATGAAGAGATTGAGGAAGATGTCACAAACAGAATTAGAGCTAGGTGGGTGAAGTAGAGATGTGTAACCGGAATTTTATGTGATCGCTGCTTATCGATGAAGCGGAAATGGAAGTTCTATATGACAGCTGTGAGACTAGCTTTGTTTTATGGAGCGAAATGTTGGGCAATTAAGAAACAACATATTCATAGAATGCGTGTAGCTGAGATGAAGATGTTGATATAGATGAGTGACAAGCCGAGAAGGGATAGAATTCAAAATGAATATATTTGGGAGAATGTAGGTGTGGCATCCATAGGCGATAAGATGAGAGAAAGTGAACTTAGGTGCGCTAGCCATGTGTTGCGCATACTCAGTAGAGCATATGTTTGGAGGTGCGAGTTAGTTTCAAGTGGATGGTTCAAAAAAAACAAGAAGTAGGCTCAAAAAGATATGGTTGGAAGTAGTGAGAAAATATATGGGGACTTAAAGTCTTATTGAAGGTTGACCCCTAATAAAGCAAAATGGTAGACCAGGATTCATGTAATCGCTCGTAGTTAGTTGGAAAAAGGTTTTGACGATGATGATATGATGGTAATTAAAATAAAATGACAATTTTATTTCTCTTATTCTATATGCGTCCCCAAACTCCCCACAGATGACAAGATGCTTTTGTACTTCCTATGTTTCTATTAAAAAGGAAGCAATTTAGGTGAAGCTCCTGTTCTTGCTATTGTTGCATTCATGTAAGAATTTCGCCTCAAAAAATTGACTATTGCTTAAAACCTATTAAGTGTGTAGGGTGTGTCCAAGTTATTTTCTTGTATATAAGTTTCATCTATCTTCAAATGTTGTAGGGTCATGGAAAAGCTCTTGTGACCACTTGGTTCAAATACCATTAGGTACTCAATGATTTTTTCTATAAATTTTTTTTTTGATGAAAGAGTTAGCCAACGATTTTTTACACATGGCTCTTCGGCCTCCTTCAAACTAGCTAATGATTGCCTCATTGTTTAAATTGTTAACGTGCTTTTTTATATGGGTGCGCTATGTATAGAGAGACGAGGCTCTAAACAATCAAAGGAAAGCGCACCTTCAAATAGTGTCAAGAAATGTGGTTTTAGTACTGGAAATCTTTGTCATAGCCTTAAAATATATTTTTATCTTTAATTATAAAATTTCAAGCTTCAAAAATTTAAAATAGTGTAGATCAAGTAAATCAATGAATAGTTGAAAATCTCGAAAATTGACGGTCCAAAAATGCATTACAAGATCTACTATTTCCAAAACTTGAAATCCATTTTTTTCTCATGTCCATGCGTCTTGATGTCTAGATGACCAATTTGAGGATATTTGAACATCAAAACAACCTCTTGTAGTGAAATTTTTTAGGTGGGCTCTAAGTTGATCGGCTCTATATAAATTTTTTCCTTTTTACATTGATCACAAAAGTATTGAAAAGACTCATTACCTGCCCCTTTCCTTCCCTGCTTATCTGCAAAAGATGCCTTACATTTTTTTTGGCTTTTCTCTAGTCCAACAAGAACCATGAGCGGGTATGTAAAAAACAATTCCCTGAGAAAAGCACTTGTTGGAATAGAGAAAAGCCAAAGAACAATTGTTCTCTAGAGTATTCACTAATAAATTGTTCTCGATTCACTAGATTTTTCGCCCAATATTTTTTGGCTTTTCTCTATTGAACAAGAACCATTTTGGGAATAGAGAAAAGCCAAAAAAACAATTGTTTTTTAGATTTTTTGCCCTATGTTTTTTGCTTTTCTCTGTTCCAACAAGAATCATTTTGGGTGGGAAAAGCAATTCCCTGACGCCCGATTCAGATGAATAATTTATTAGAGAATAATCTAGTGTCTTCCCTGCATATTTAGGAGTTAGGAGTAAGGTGCATTGTTTGGTCGGCGCTGCTATTATTGTAAGGCCATTTCTCTGTTTTTTTTTTTTGGATGCCTATTTTGGAAAAGAAAAGGAAATTTATCAAAGTATACCTATCAACTATTTGACATTTGACCCATTTTCAACTACTCCAACTCATTGATCATATGTATGTTGATGGGCTCTTGAAATTAAATCAAAGAAACGAGTGACATGTTAAATAGTTCATCACTTTTCCAAAAAAAAATAAAATAGTATAAATAGTTCATCTCCTAGGTACATTTTGATAGATTTCCAAAAAAGAAAAAAAACTTGGAATGCCCTTATTCTATCTAGATAGCCCCATTTTTTAATTAAAATACGAGTGTCCATGCAAAAGACTACTCTTAAATCCTAACTTTGGAAATTACTCATTTCAACAGGGTTCAGTTAGGGCAAGGCTGTGGCTTTATGCCCTTCCGGTAAAAAGTAAAGCTGTCCCTCGAAAACCTGCCGAGACCTTTGCGGGAGTTAAAGGGTGGCAACGCGCAGGACCAATGTCCCCATAGGGTTGGGCTGGGCCATGTAAAAAACAACTGAGGAAAGAATAACAGAAAAAAAGAAGGCTGGGCTGGACCGAACCAGGCTGGCACTTTCCCTGACCCAGCCCTCTGACCACAATTTGTGGCCCGAGACCTATTTTTACTGGACTGTCCAGCTCAATTCCACCTTTAGCGGGACTGACCTTTCCCTAGGCTAACCTATTACATTGTCGTTAACACCGTAGTTATTGTGTCTTGATGGAATAGCGGACACTGTGTTCATGTGGGTATACTTTGACGGACCCGCCATTTCTTTAGACAATGTACGCAGTGATACATCAAGGGTCCAGATTTAGCTGATAAATTCGTAATCACTGAGGCACGTTTTTTTCTGGAATGCCTTGAGCTCTGAAATGTGAACAATTTACGAGCATTTTGTATATTTGTTTATAAAGTGGGCCTGCTATGCTTCCTCTGTTGCTTTGTGGATTAAATCATTCTTTTGAACGAGAGTGAGAGAGAGAGTAAAAATTACGTATCTGTAATATCAAGACCGCAGATCTGTTTTTGATAAGATTTCTTTCACATGATGAGATAGAGAGAGAACCTACAGTGACCGTGATATCTTTGTAATTCGTATTTAGAGATAGACAAAGCGTGAGACATTTTGGTCTCATTACCCAGAAAATAGCTTTTGTGGTATACTTTTCAGTTGTCTTGTGGATGAAACTTGTGTAATAAATAACTCAGATATTTCTCATTTACCACGACTCACTCGTATCTCTCTGCAAATCTCACTTTTATAGAAATTACTCTCTCTCATCACGTAGGACTGTGTTCCTAAGTTGGTGGCTTTGATGTTATTTTCGCAGGGTGGAGACAACGGACATGAAAGGCTTGAAAAAGATGGAGGATCATTAGTATCCATACTCTCCTATGTAAAAACATATTTCATTTAATTTTCTGTACTCGTTTTGTCTCACAACAAATTTTATAAAAACCCCATTGCTTTGATTACCATTTCTCGAATTTCTGTTCTCACTACCTCTCTTTATCGATTGCGACAAGGTCACCTTATCTCCTCTCTCTCTCACTCAGCGTCTGTTAAACCCCTGTCTAAGCATTTAACTAGTTTCTCTCTCCTCTCTCTCTCTAACAATTTTTACTTTCTTTTTTTTTTTTTTGGCTGTGTGGATGTTGAAACTTGAAATTTCTCTTTGGGATTTTCAATTTTAAACAAAAAACGAGTGGTTTACTCATTAAAAGGCGAGGTTTGTAAAATCTCGAGCGATTCTGTAGAGGGTGTATGGGGATGCGTTTCTTGCTTTCTCGGCTTCTGCGTAGCCGCCCATTCGTTCCCGTTCTTTCACTCCTCTTAAACCTTCCTTGGATTGATTCCTCCTCGCGATTATGCTGCTTTATCTCTCCTCCTTAATGAGACATGACACAATGTGTAACATAGGTTTTTTTTTTTTACAAAGCATGATACAAAGATTATGCCGCGGCGACTCCGCCGTTAGATGTCGTACTTGGGGAGTATTTTTTAATCTAAAATTTGGGGAGCTGCCCAGTAGTGTTACGTATTTTTTATTTTTATTTTAATCTTGAGATATTATTTTTTTGAAAAAATATCTTTATAAAACTCATTTTCATCTTTTTTTTTTTCATTGACTTTAGGATGCTAACCCTATCTTACTACAACTTTTATTTGTTCATTAGCCTTAGGTTACAAAACATATCTTATTATATAGAAGTTCACACTGGTATATCTTCTAACTTCTGATCAAATTTTATTTATTTATTATTAATTTTTTTGATTTAAACAAATTAAAAAAGATATGGTTTCTGAACCCCTTTCGCTTTTTATGTGATCCCTTTCTCTTTCCCTCATCAACCTCCCAAACCCCTCTCTCTCTCTATCTCCCCCTTACCTACTCGTCGGAAACCATTTTTTGTTGGAATTTTGATTGAGATTTGCAAGGGAGAATTCACAAATTTTAATCTTTTTGGCTGGTCACCATTTTAGCTAGAATCTTGACCGGGATTTGCAGGGAGAACCTACAAATTTCAATCTTTTAGCTGGCCATCATTTTGGCTGGAATCGTGATCGAGATTTGAAGGGAGAACCCACAAATTTCCGATTTAGGGTTTTCACATACTGAATCTTTTTGGCCGACCACTATTTTTGCATCTTGATCGGGATTTGCAGGGAGAACCCACAAATTTCTAGTTTAGGGTTTCACAGACTGAATCTTTTTGGCTGGCTACCATTTTGTTTGGAATCTTGACCGGATTTGCAAGGAGTATCCCACGCCCTTGGCGATCTCGACGACCTCGTCCTACCTCCTCAGCTTTGGCAAAGCGTTCCCTTTCTCGATCCCCTGAACTATCTCCAAGTGAGTTGGAGTCTTCGAGTATTCGCCTTTGAAGGGCCAATGCATAGGTGTAGCAGCTCATAGTATAATCTAGCGAGAGAGGGGAAAGTGCATGTCACCCAAGCAGATGAGGCTCGAAAATGAGGCATGGGCTAGCTCTGGGTCAATTCCTAAATCAAGAAGAGGATTGGAGGAAGAAGAGAAGAAGTGGTTCACAACTTGAATTGCTTTTTCATAGTTCCCATGTTCCATCAATTGTTGTTGTTGTGATGTTGCTTTTCTTCTTATGGCTGCCTGGGATTGACAGTACTTATCACAACTCGCGATCTCCTCTTCCATTACCATGCCTGATATTAATCTTCTTAGGAGGAGGAGAGCAGCTGCAGGACGGTGAGAAGTCGAATGCTTGAGATTCATTTCACAATGTTCATTGATATAAAAAAGTGGCCAAAATGCAACGTTTTCGGTGAGCTCTTGAACAATTTAGAGAGAGAAACACATGAGGAAAGAGTTTGAAACACGCGAGGAGAGAGAGAGTTAAAAAAAAGATTGGCTTTTTCAATTTGTTTGGGTTAAAAGTTAGGATAAAAATAGATAAAGTTATTTGGGGGTTAGTAGAATTTTTTGGTTCAAGAAGAAATACACGTTGAAAATTGGGTCCATGGAGATACTTTCCTTTATTTTTTCAAGTACATAAATAATGCGGCTAGGGACTTTTTAATTGAAGTTAATTTATAGGTTGAAGAGGTTATATCCCAAAATTTGTGTTCCTAAAATCAATCTTAGATGGAACTTTACCTGAAGTAGTAAATAGACACTATAATTAGAATATAATATCTTTTGCAATCTTATTTTAATGAGTTTTAAACCTTGTTCAGGCTTGTAATTCAGGCTCCGTTATCGGGCTGGACCTGGGCCAAAGTCGGTGGCCTAAATGCATGGATGAAATTTGGAAAGATGAAAATGTTTTTTTTGGAGGGTTCACGGGGATATGAGATGGGTGAGGTTTGCATAATATATTATTGAAGTAAGGTGTGGGCCCTCCAATGAAATTAAAATCTATTGTTACTTGCAATTATGAAATTTAAAGTTAAAAAAAAAAAAAAAGGTGACAATCAAACAAATCTATAAGCACTTGAAAATCTTAAAAATGGATGGTCCAAATAATGTGTTAGAAGATGAATTATTTTCAGGATTAGAAATCTTATTTTTTTCACGTCTATGAATCTCGAGGTTGAGATGATCAATTTGAGGGTTTTTAAGAAAAAGAACAACCTTCTCTACTGATTTTTCAGGTGCACCATACCCGTATAGTATAAAGTTGAGACTTTATACAAACTTTTTCCATATGGGATATAACGTATTTAAAAATGTGCGCATTAATAAATGATGTTTTCATGCATTGCGCATTGCTAATATGTTTGAGGGCATATATGCTCAATGGTGAACTAAATCCATATAGTTTGATCATTTTGTATTAAAAGTAAATGATCTCGTCATATACTTTTTCATATAATTTAGCTTTTAGAACAAAGATTTTTGTTCAACGTTTCAACATCATTGGGGAGAAGGTCCAGCCCCAAGTTGCACTGCAAAATTACCTCCAGGGTTGTCTCAAGGTAGTGGCCCGTTGAGCTTGTGGTTGGTAGGCATGGGCAAACCGAAGGCAAGCCTCTAGAGTTCAGGGGTTGGCTTGGGTTGACGGTGGCCCTATTGAAGCCCGACCCACTCTCACTGTTTAACAGTATTAAACAACTAATTTTAATAATTAAATTTATATAAATATATCTTGATTGGGGAAAGCGGTTTGTTGAGCTAATTTTAACCAATTCGACCCGCCAACCTCGTATTCAAACCTGAGTGTGGGATTTTGGATATTTAAAGTTTTATCCCACTCTTTTTAAGTTATAATATTATTGTCATTATCAGCTTTATCCCAATTTTTAAGTTATAACATCATTGTTATTATCAAGCCTTATCCCAATTGTTAAGGGTGGTCTACTCTAATTCGATTCTTATTAAGGGTCATGCTTTCTCTACACACAAAAGCTAAAAGATTTTAACTTGGTACGGGGAACTACATTGTTCATTTACTCCATCGGATAAAACCTAATTTATGAGGAATTCTAGGACCCTAACTTTAGGGATGTAATCTTTTACAACTTGTAGACTCACTTCAATAAAAAATTAGAATTGAACTTTTTGTATATATAAAAAGCAATATAATGTCTCAAGATTGAGCACATATCGTTTGATTTCTAAAGGGTAAGATCTAAGCATCAAGAACTTAAAATTCAATTTTTTTTTCTTTTGAAATAAGTACCCGTTCCCAAAATTTAAGATTAAAAAAATCGTCGACTTTTGAATAGGGCATAGATGCACAAAATGCTTAGTACAGCATAATATACGTGCTCTTTCATTGTTAAATGTTGATTAAGCATAATTTGGAAGCTTTTGGAGAGATGGTTCTTAGGACATTTCACGTCTAACAAGAAAGTATTTGCATGGTTTATCCTTAGGGTTAAGGATAGGTGGTAGGGGGCCAGAAAAGTGCAAGGTTGATTATGGGGCTTGAAAACGAGGTACACGTGTCAATCACATCAAATGCTCGTATCGAGAAGCCTGCATCAAAGAACTCTCACACTCTCCTTACGCTGTCTAACCTAAACCTAAACCTCTGTCAAATACTCTAATTTTCCTTTCATCTCTCTCTCTCTCTCTCTCTCTCTCTCATAAAAAGCGCTTTATCTATCTTTAGCCTTTTTGGCCGAAGGTCCTCACCCTCTTGACTCTTCACACTAGTCTCTCTCTCTTCTCTCTTCTCTCTTCCTTTTGAAACCAGTTTCATACTACTCTCTCTTCTCTCTTCCTATTGAAACCAGTTTCACACTACTATCTCTCTCTTCTCTCTTTCACATTTTGGTCGCATCTCTCTCTCTCACTCATCTGCCTGAAGTCATTTATCCATCAGTATTCATTTCAGGCCACGCCTCGCCTCGCCCAATCATGTGTAGCATCATCTTAGTCATGGTTGACAGAAGTTCGGTGAAGTGTCTTCAGAGAGAGAGTGTGTGTGTCGGGGACGGGCCCTCATTTT